TTTCTTTGCCAAAAGCAATTCCCCTTTTCCACATTTCCCCCTGGCCCAGTCGGGACAATGTCACCATTATGTTCACTCCAGGGGAGAAAGAAAGGAGAGCTTAGGGGCTTTGATACAAACAGCAAAAAGGTAATGAAGAGATTGACATTCCTAGTTGGTGCCCCATTGAAAGTCATCACAGAGACTGATTCACATGGATCACTTAAAATTCTGGTGGCAGGGTTAAAAATACCCTCTTGATTCTTACCGATAATGGGAGCCCTACATTCTGGGTGTAATGATACTGTTTGGCTTTCTAATGAGTACACTTGAACTCTGACCCTTCACCCGCTCGAAGATGATGAGACAATGGCTCTTAACTGAAAGAGTGTTGGGTTAGGGTTGGTCCGTGAGGTGGTTGGTCCAGCTTCAAATGAGCTGCTTCACATCACATATTACAATCTTTACAAGCTGCTCACAGTGTGCAAACACAAGACTTGGATCTTGTTATTGTCTCTAACACGGTCCTGTGCTTTGTATGAAATGTGTAACGCAATTATATTTCTAAAGCATTTGTGAGATGATAGGAGTGGCTTGGTTTTTATGCCAAAGCTTTCAAAAGACTCTTTGTATAGAAGCGTTGGTCATGGCCAAAGACGTCCTCCTGGTATTTATTCTAGAGTTCCTCCAGATGCTGCAAACGGAGTCAACTGGGACTACGTTAAAATTCGCTTTTAAAACGGGGATAGCAGCTCCACAGATCATTAGCAGTTCCCAAAAGGAGAACTTGGAATGGAGGTTTCTCTTCCTGTTTTCAAGGTGTGTATTTAAGACTCAGCTCTACTAAAAGATCTTTCATTAGGTCTACTTTAAAATTTTGAAAAATTTAAATCTCCATGAGGATAAATTGAGGTTAAGTAAAGCAGGAAACAGCAAATGTTTGAAGAAAGGCAGGGAAATTTCAAAGCTGGGTCTGTTTTGTATGTGGGTTCAGAGCGAGCCAACTTCATGATTTTCCCCCACAAAATAAATCACATTCTTTGGCTAAAAACACTCCACAAGCAAGAGTTCAGGGTCAAAACTGACCTGCCTTTCCAGGAAGGCAGCAAAACAAACTATTTCAGGGATCAATGATGTTTGCAGTGGATTAGGTTTACTTCATTTAAGCACAGATTGTGCTCTGCAGCATTTTTAGAATAGACTAGAACAGAAAATACTTTATTAATCCGGAGAGGGGAAATCTGACGTCTAGGTGGCTCCCACACACAGAAAGATAAAAAACTGAAGGATAAAAACTTTTAAGGTTCTATTTTTCTTTTTTAGTGTGAACGAATAACAGATTTGAACTTCATAATTTAAGAGGTCTTTAAACGTTGAGTGAACAATAAAAGTAAAAGAATAAGCTGGTAAGTTAGTTTTCTTCCTTTAAAGATGTGGATAAATAAAAAAAACTGTATTTTTTTCTAAACATTTTTAAGAAGGCTTTTGGGACCACTTTTGCCTTGCAGCTAAAATGTTGCATCTTCCCAGCGTTTGGCTTTCTGGATGGAGTTTGCATGTTCTCCCCATGCACATGTGAGCTTTCTCTATAGGTATTCTGGCTTCCTTCAGACTAAAAACATGCATGTTAGGTTAACTGGTGACTCTAAACTCTCCTCAGGCATGAATGAGTGTTTGTTTCTATGTGAAATGTCCAGGGTGTCCCCTGCTTCTTGCCCAACGAATGCTGCAGACCCCAGCTTCCCTCAACCCAACTGAGGATTATGCGGTTCAGTAAGTGAACACATTTTTTTTTGTAGAAATTGTGTGTTTAAGCCATGTTTAATGACCAGGAATAAAATTGAATGCTCCCTCCAGATGGGAGGTGAAGTTCTGCCTTGTAGGCAGGAAAGTTCTGGTATCTTAGGTACTGTTCATGGCAGATGTTTACCAATTGATCAGAGCTTTTGTCCTCATCAATGAGGTCATTACTCCAGTGTGTTGTGATGAATAAGGAACAGACCCAAAACACAGCAGCATTCCGTGGTCCGGCCGTGTCTGCAGCTCACCGTTCCCCATGGAGATGGGCCAAATGCGTAGGACAATTTTCACCACACCACACCAGTGTGTGTGTGTGTGTGACAACTATGGGATTTTATTCTTTTTTTAATCATTTAACCCTCACCTGAGGTCACAACACCTGGATTATGATCAAAAAACTAGATCTATGTGACCTGGCATTGAGTTAATGGATGAATGCATGGATAGCTGATTGACATGCATAAACAATAAACAAACAGATACAGCAGCCAATTTGAAATATGTATTTTACTTCCTAAAAGCCATTTTCATTTGTTTTTCCACATATCTTTTTATTCCAATAGCACCCAAACAGGAGGCTTCAATTGTAATGCATGAGCTGGCTACATACTGAACCTGTATCCCAGATAGATAAGCTGTTGAATTGTTGTACAGGCTTGCATGATTTTTGATAAACTGTTGATGTTGATGCTACATCTAAACATTTTTAAGATAGTTATTGTCCCAAGGCCAGAACAAACACATGTCCTGTTCATCATGTCTGAGACCTTGAGAATCTCTGTGCCTCTTGGTTCTTTAACCTAGCCTGGCAAGCCAGACTAAATAAATATATTGTTTAGTCTAGCAACACTCCATTGATGGTTCTTGGTCGTTGGGCGGGTTCTACCATTGTCTTTCAAACAATCTCTGCATACTACTGGACAATGAACAACGTGACGTACTCACCGCAATGAATGTTGGTAAACAAGTCAGTCCGCTGTTAAAGAAGGTGAAAATACATCCTTTTTCTAAATAAAAGACTTAATTGCATCTATCTGCTCTTGATTTTAATGAAGCCAATCTAGTCTAAATAGTCCAAAATTGATGTAAAAGGCGTTTCAAACGAGCTGTCACCATCTTGTTCCACACTGTTGCATCAACTCGCCCACCAAACCAAACGAGCGCCATTGGCCCACAAAGCTGATAGAGCACTGTGATTGGCCCACCATTGTGGATTCTATAGGGAGCCTAAGTCACTTCCGCATCACGGGTCCCCAGAAGAAAGAAAAAAAATGAATGCAAGTCAATGGGGCTAAAAACGCTATTTTCTAATTCTGTTTGTTTTGTGCCATGGATTTCACAGATGATGTCCGTGAATTTTAAAGATGCGTTTTGATACCAAGAACGCGCTTATTTTCAAATGGGGGGAACGGTATTTTAGGTTTTGTGTGAAAATAAGTCCAGAACTAAAAATGCGCTTGACGAAAGTGATGTCATCGAACCAGACACGGAGGAAACTGAGGGAAAATGGCTGTAAGTTCAACGAACTTCCCACAAGAGGAAATAACCACCATAAAAATGGCTATTTGGTAAGTAGCAGCTACGTTAGGGGAGAGGAGATTATGTGGTGACGTCACATGTGTAACGTGGCGATTTCTGGTGTGTAATCATGCTAATTACAAACTTTTACAAGCTAATAAATCTCAAAGTACGTGACTGGCATGGTGAAAACACCCATCATTACTTTTCATTTAAATTGCAGTACAACATATGTGTGATCCAGGGTGTTAGGCAAAGCGGATTAGAAAATAACGTTTTTAGCCCTGTTGACTTGCATTCATTTTTTCGTTCTTCCGGTGACCCATGGTGTGGAAGTGATTTAGGCCCCCAATTGCTTTGAAACCCCAATAGAGAGCGGCGATTGGCCCGCCCGAATGCTGCTAGGGGCTGCAGAGGTTCCAAGGAAGTGTTCCTAGACCAAACTTTGCAGAGCAAGAATTTGGTCTATAGCAGGGGTGTCAAACTCATTTTAGCTCAGGGGCCACATTGCGAGAAATCTAGTCCCAAGTGGGCCGGACCGGTAAATTAAAAACAACTTCAGATTGCTTTCTTTGTTTTAATACAGCCAATATAAAACAAGACTGGAGCCTGAGGACAGTGTATCCAAAATGGTACAAGTACAACACCTGAAGTGTACTTGAAAATTTGAAAAAAAAAAAAAAAAAATCAATCAATAAAAAATACAGTCCTTAGTGATTAAAAGAGCTTACAGATCACATGGCTAGATCAGTTTCATGCAGCACTTAAAGTATATTCGACTCATTTTACTTTACATCATTTAGCTTTCACCAGCACATCAATATCAGAAGTCACATCCTGAGTGGCAGCCAACTTCAGGATGTGATTCAAGTTCTTGTTTGAGCCTTGAGCGCAGCTTTGTTTCATTTATACTCATTACAGAGAAAACTTGCTCACAAAGATAAGTTTATTTTCACTCTACATTGTAAAGTATGAAAAAAAAGTTTACACAACCATCTCGCGGGCCGGATTTAACCCGCTTGCGGGCCGGATCCGGCCCGTGGGCCGCATATTTGCCACCCCTGGTCTATAGGCTATATTTAACCTTTTTTCTAGCTGGAAGTTGGGATTTATTTTTAAAATAAACTGGATTTTGCACAAATATTATTTTACAACATTTTCTGGATGATACAGAAACACTTGGCTGCATGGTGGCGCAGTGGTTAGCACTGTTGCCTCGCAGCACGAAGGTTGCAGGTTCGAAACTCGGCCTTTCTGCGTGGAGTTGCGTGTTACTCCGCTTCCCCCACAGATCACAACATGCCCTATAGGTTATAAATTGTAAGTCGCTTGAGATAAAAGCGTCTGCTAAATAAATAAACATAAACATAAACTTGTTGAAAAATGAATAATCCCCCCCCCCCCCCCCGCCCCGCGACCCTAAGTGGAAAAGCGGGTTCAGAAAATGGATGGATGGATGGATAGGTGGATTTGATAATAGCACAGAAAATATCTAAGTCAGTACGGTATGAAGCGTATTTTAAATATAGGGTAAAAATTTTATTCCAAGGCTGTTAAATGCCAAAAAGGTCAGGGGTCTGCACTGAAAGGTGTTTGGGATGAAACAGAAACAGATTAAGACACCCAGGAGAACTTTGCACTCGAGCTGCAGCTACATCATTAAGGAAGTCTGTCTCTGCATGAGTGATGTTGGACTCAGCTGGTCAGCATCCGTTTCAGAATCACAACGGATGCCGCAGGCATGCAGCCAGGATGGAGAGTGAGATAAATGTAACTTTTACGGTTTAGCGAATGGCTGACGAGCTGAGAGCAATGCTGCGAAGCTTGAGTGTGCCAACTGCCTTTGGTTTGTTTGAGATTTAGACACGCAGAGGGGAAAGTGATGATGCAGCATGCATGAGAAGGGATGTGAATGGGATCTGTTACATAACTTGGTCAGTTTTCCAAGATTTCAGCGAGAGTTTGATCAAGACCTTCCAAAGTACAGTAGACTTTATGAGCGAGGCTGCAAAACACTGCTGGTTTTATGAATTATTTAAAAGCTGCCTCGAATATTAGTAAATTAGCTGAATTACTCCAGCAATCAGAAATGTCAACTCTCTCAGGAAAACATCTGGAACTTGCACCAATCGTGAATTTTATGACATTGTAATAGTTTGTCAGTTCAAATAGAAACTGACGGTAATGATCAACGCAGCTGCATTCCTACAAAAAGAACTGCTGTAAAAGAGAAAGAAAAAAGTTCATGTAACTTGGCAGAGAAAGCGCGCGTGGCCACGCGGACCTGTGTGTGGAAGCAACACAAGGGGGTGTTACTTCTTGCGAAGCACAATCCCTGCAACAATTCCCAGTGACTTCAGATCCAAGGAGGTGGTGATATTCATGGGAGCACGGTTCAAACTCTCACTTGGAGCACAGCCTCAGCAGCCGCTCTCTTTGCGCCACTTCTGTTAGTCATAAACTCAAACAGATGGAGTGATCTTTGCCTAAAATAACTTTTTTCCTGCACTGGAAGAAGAAAGGGTGATTTTTTTTTGTATTTTCCCAGCCTTGGACAGTTTTAAGTGCTGATTTGAGAACCTGAAGACATGAGTCTCACCTGAGAATAATGAAAAGGTGTCCAGGTGTCTTTCACTGCTGGGAAATGATGGGACCGTTCTGAGTATTTTATGTGAACACGTCGCATTTTTAACTTAGATTTTTTAATTTGCCAATATTTTACGCGCTAGTTTAAAATGAAGCGAGCAGGATTTGTTTTTGTGATGGTTTTATCCATGGTGCTCTCGCGGCTCGGTCACTGTCACAAGGAGACAACAGGTGGGAGGAAGGAGGGCGCCGGGGCAGACCAGGTGGAATGGTCTCAGGGAATCAGTCATGGTCATTCCTCAGGAGGATCACGGAGCGATGCGTCCTCGGAAAAATCCGGTGAAGCTTCTCCTGCGTCCAGCCAGTCCGGAGTTCGGGTCCGCATTTCCAGAGGAGCATCAGTCCATGAGGATGGCAGACACACATCCAGATCAGGTTCGGTTCATGGTGCTGTTTCCTCTGGAGCAGATCCTATCTCTGCGCCCCAGGACGGCGCGCAACGCGCCGCCAGACACCCGGTGAGCCAGCAGCAGAGAGTGAACCGCAGGCAAAGCAGCAAACCCAGCTCTGCAGGCGCAAGGAGACTTGTTGGGTAAGAGTGGAAGAAAACTGCTCCATAACTGAAACTAAATGTTTTACGCTCCTTTTGTCAAACTTTTTCGCTGCGTGCACGTTCACTCCAGCAGCAGCAGTACTGGAGGAATTTGTGTGACCTATTTTGCTGCAGCCAACACGAGTCCATGTGGTTTACTGTAATGTGGTGGTGGCCCACTTTAGCAGAATCTTTCTTCCTGTAAGGAAAAACCAGCAGATGATGTAACAAGAAGCCACAAAGTACTCAGTATATACTATTAAATTGTCATCCAGACATGTATGTTTTAGGGCAGCCAAAATGCAATACACTAATCTGTGCTAGCTTTGTTATGGGGTCAGGGCAGGACAAGCAATGATTATGAGATTGAAGATTTTAATTATTTTATGTTTAAACTCAACCAGATATATGCAACACCACCATTTTATTTTTCCTTTTTTCCTCTCTGAGAAATCAACCCGTTTCCTTATTGGAGCTTCTTTTTGTTAAATGAAGCATCAACTTCTATTTCATCCATAGGAACACGATGAGGTGAACATTTGCATATGAATCAGAAAGGAATTAGCATAAACAAGGCAATGTGGAAAACATGTTTTTCCCCAAGAGAAAAATTACTAATTTATGAAGTTCTTTAACCCATTAAACCATTCAGATTAACTAAGTGATCTAAAAATGAAAAACAATAATAATCAATAGCAGTTTGGAAACAGGAGTTCCTATTTTAAAACTGCTGCATTTACTGATTTGCACCAGCTGGTGGCATAGTTGTGCTATTTAGTGGTTAATAAAACTCATGGAAATTATAAGACTGACATTAAGTTTATCATGGTAAAAGCATTATTGACAAGGACAGAAGTGCACAGACCTGTTTAGGAGAAAATAAGTATTTTCTAACGTTCAGACATTTTATTCTTCTATTAGAGTCAATAACTTTCAATGGGAAAATGCACTGCTGTAAAAGCAGAGAAGAGCTGCTATGGGACGTCCTACCCTGGATTGTTTCGGGATCATATTTCAGAAATGTGTTTTTCAGCATGACTATGTAAGACCAAATGTACATTTAAAATTTTTCTAGCAGTAGAGTGTCTGACTTGGGACTGGGAGATTGGGGTTCAAATCCCAGTTGGGTCATACCAAAGACTTTACAATTAGGACCCAATGCCTCCCTGCTTGATACTCAGCTTTAAGGGGTTGGATTGGGGGTTGAACCACCAAATAGTTCCCGAGTGCAGCCACAGCTGCAGCTCACCGCTCCCTGCAGAGATGGGTCAAATGCAGAGATGTACTTTCACCAGTGTGTAACGTTGACTAATGGGACTTTAACTTCATTGTTTCTGTAAAAGGTTGGAGAAGAGGTTGATACTGAAACACAAATTTGATGAATTTGGATAGCCTTTACTTTTCACTTTAATCTTTTTGCTGCAAATGATTTTGAAGAAATCAATTTTTCAATCAAGAGAAGCCCAGCCCTTTGCACTGACACCATCAGACTAGTGCAGAATTAAACCCAACCTGCTGTCCTACCTTGCTTAAAACTGCTAAATTTAAACCAAAATGGCCTGAAAAGGGTTATTTTTCATCTAAGGAGCCATAAAATGTGTTACATAAATCTACAGGAACATTAGCAATCTGCTTGTTGATTTTAACAGGTTTTCTTCGTGTGTTTCAGAGAAATCACCTGCTACTTGTTAACGAAAGTGAATGTATGACACATTCCCTCTTGGAATTCCACTCAGCTTCTCCTATTTACCGTACCCCCAGCCCTGGCGGTGCTCATTTAACCACTCTTTACATTTCGGTTGACTCAGTGTGACTCTTTCTCTGTTTTAGTCGAACTGTCAGATCTTTGGGAAATGCTGATGACTCAGTGGTGAAAAGAATTTCCTCTCCTTTCAAATTATACAAGCTTAAAAAAAAGAGGCTAATTGTGCGTGCATGTATTTCTTTACCTGGAGCATGAGAGTCATGTTGCATTAAGTCTTCATTACAGATATAAATCCCTTGATGGAATTTGTATGTGATGACTGAAATCTTTGGCACGGGCCTGGCCTGATGTGCATGATTTATGACAACAATAAGCTTGCCAGAAGGCCTGAATGACTGGATGTTATCCCTGTGACGCCTCTGTAATACCGGCAGTGTCTAATGAGTGCAATCCAACTGGGGTCAATGAGTTAATCCCGGTTATCTTCTCAAATCGCCGTGAGTCAGACATCCACTTACTGTAATACCGTGCAAATTTAGATGAGGGGCACAGACCTGGAGTAGCTTTTGTGGTCTGCTGCCTTCTTATCTGTCTCACGACAAAAATTGGCCTGGAAAACAAGTGTGGAATAAGGAGTGCAAAGAATCCAGTTCAAACAGTTTTAAACGTGTCACTTCTCATTTGCTGTGTGATTTATAGAAGATGCGTGGTGTTTTTTCACGTCCCATGTGTCTCACCTAATCCCCCTAAGGCTCAAATAACTGTTCACTCACGATTCTTACATAACAAAACGGTGGGGTTTGTTAGTTAAGACAGAGATTTGTGACTTGCCCTGAACTATTTATCAAATAATGTGCAATTATAGCATCATTTCTATGGTGTTCACCTCCAGCTGCCTTAGATGGATTAGAAACTCAAACATACATTCACAACAGTTAGAGGCCCCTTTAATCGCAGTTTATCATTACAATAAACTGGTATTTGTTCATGTTTGTCTTAAAGATACAATAAAATAATTAGTCATTTTTTTGTATTTTTCATCTTTTGATCAGGCCTAATGTCTGTGGAGGCCACCAGTGCTGCTCTGGTTGGGCGTTGGCACCGGGAACCAACCGCTGCATAAAACGTAAGTATTATTTACAGTTTTCCGTGCACCAAACATAACATAAATAAGAATTTACTCTATAATCACACTATTAGTAATCACATCGAACACCAATAAGCATTGTTTTCATGTTTCTGTCCTCTTGCACCAAAATAGTTTGTTTAGCTATGAATAAATATGTGAAAATTTATTAAACAGTACATTTCATAAGTGCTTACGAGCTCAGTCTCCAAAATATGCTTTATTGTGTAAAAACATATACGTAATGGGAAACTTTATTAAAGATAGATGAACTCAGTTTTGTTGCCATGATGCCAGCGGGAGTTACAAGTTGACTGTGAAATTATCCACATTTGTTTATTTTTTCTTTTTGATTCCAGCTTCAAATATTAGTAAAAACATTATAATGGACAAAAACTATTGTTGTGAAAAGAATTTAGTCACTTGCAAGGATGCTCTTATTTTTTTGACATCCTGTGTTTTAGAATGTTCGTGGCAGAACGAGGGCAAAACACAACAACAGCAAATTAAATGTCTTTAAAGTTGTTTATTTTTAAAATCGTGACATCCACGTTTGGTGACACAATGTCTAGTCATAATTTTTTTTGATGATGCTACTTCCATGCATCATTACTTTCTAAAAGAAAATCTTCCTGCTTGGACATCTAGGTTGCCATTGCAGGCTTCTATTATATGAGTAACATTTGATATATTTCCTACCCTAAATATGTTTGATGTTAGGCATTATAATGGTTTATATTGATTCTAAACAGCACCACCTGCTGATTTAAACTAAATTAGATCAGTTAGACCACCTGATAGTTCCCGCGTAAGGCAGTGTCTGCAGCTCACCACTCCCCCAGGGGATGGGTCAAATACAGGGATCAATTTTCATCACACACTAGTGTGTGACAATTAATGGGACTTTAATCTTTCATTTAAATGTTACTGCAATAATGCCATTATTATTTATTAATGTCATGTACATGGTAATTGGTTTACTCTGCTTCCAAAATGCATTGTTTGTGTGAGTATATGAAGTCCACAGTGTAATGGTAAGTTCTTTGCTATTGACCTATGACAGGCTGAGATTCCCATGCACGTAAGCTTAAAATAACAGTAAATGGTTTATAATGACCATCCTGCCATATGAAATAGCCCCATGAAGGTTTTCCTAGATGGTTATTGCCCCCATGGTCACATTCATCATGTGCTGTTTTCCTTTTCCACTCATGTAAGATTCTCACTTGGAAATGAGTCTGGAACTGACTCTGTTTTTTGACACAAGCCCATAATTATAGGTGTAACTGCCTTTTCTTTTCTTTGACCACGGCTGCACTGGTTTTACTAACTGGCAGGAGCACTAACAGTTGAATAATTATGAAGACGTAATTATTTAACATCAAACTAAGAGGCAGGTGTTTCCCCATCATCATAATTAATAATTCTGTTGAACTTACTTGTCGACTGTACGTCACATTTCAACCCTACTTTTATGACCGCCATCGCTTCCTGTAGGCTGAAATGACAGGTTGGTAAAGGAAGTTTGTAAAAGTTATCTTTAAATTTTACAAGTAAATTAAAGCGTGCTGCAAAAAACATTTTCTGAGCCGCCAGAGTACTTTGTTTTTATAAAAAAAAGTTGTTTACTGTTTTCTCTGTTCTGTCTCTGATAGTCATTTACCCATTTCACACATGCAAACACTTTTCATGCACATTTCGGCCGGTCCATTATGCAACAAGCCAAACTGGTCCCCCCCAGTAACACACACACACACACACACACACACACACACACACACACACACACACACACACACACACACACACACACACACACACACACACACACACACACACACACACACACACACACACACACACACACACACACACACACTGCACTTAGAAAGGTGTAAATTACATTTAACACGGTTACCCGAGGCTAAAGAGTGGCTTTAATCTGCCAGAAAGAAGCAGGATTTTATCTGAGCAGGCCAGGGGTCTGTCCAATCATCTGGACCCCCTTACAGCTTCAGACTTGAGGCGATGCTAAAAAAGTTCCATAGTCGGCAAGGTGCCAACACAAAGGCTTCAGATTGGAAAAGACCCCACATATTAGTGGTGGAAAACCAGCTTCCTAGCTTACATCCTAAGCTACTTTTATTTTCTGTAGGAGTTTGAGAAAACACGTTCGGAGTCTGGGGAAGAAAAGAAACAAACCCGTCGGCTGTGAGTAAAAGTGAAAACATTACTGAGCTGTTTTAGGGACTTCCTGCTGAAGGAGTTGATGTAATGTCTAACGTTCAAAGTTTCAGCTGCAGACTTGGATTTGGTCTTTCCAAAAAGAAAAAACTTCCTTACAATACCTCTTTATGCGACTGAGTTTAGCTCAAAGCAAACACTCAGCAGGATGTGGATTGCTGTGTTTTTTTCCAGCAAGGCCGCCCACACGTCTATTGATGATGAAGACATTATCATCTGTTTAATTTGAAACCTGACTGTTTGCTCAACTTCAGGGTGGTTGATTTTCACATTTTTAGGAGATTATTTTGGAATGAAACAGCAGTTTGCTGGAAAAGAGGCAATCATGGCAAAGAAACCGTGGTTTGTGTTACTGCAGGTAAAATGTGGCCAAGCATTAATTGTTTGGGTCAATTTGTGCGAGTTGTAGCTGACAAACTTTCAGTTCAGTTATTGAATACTTCAGTAATGATAAGCTGAGGAATGTTTAGCTGCCTAAACACTAATTGCCAATGAGGGGAAAGCATCTCAATGGTTTGGTATCAACAGTTTTTGTCCCTTTGGGCAAATTTCATTGGGAAGGATTGTTTACAAAATAATAAGTTACTCAGTCGTGGAATTAGAGTGGAAGTTTGAATGGCTGCCTCATTGATGGGAAATACAGCAACCCTCAATTATATGTCTTGTACAACAGTGCTAGATTACTGTTTTGAAGTTTTGGTTCACTGCACTGCTTGGAAAAGAAAAGTGATTACAGAAAGGACATTTAAATTCCTCGGCAGCTCACGGGGAGATTGAAGTCATATATATATATATCTTTTCTCCTTTGCGTCTGTCTACAAGAAATTCCATCTTAAATAAGGCTTTCAGTCAAAGCAGCATTAGCGGAGGGTGATCTGGCCCAACGATCGTGTTACAGGATCACCATGCTAGCTCTGAATCCCACTTCTGCTCACAGATTTGTTTCAGAGATCGCATGAGGAGTTTGGGATTTGGTTGCCTGGAAGCAAAGCCTGCAGCTTTGGCCTGAAGCAAGAAAAGGCTTGAGTCTCAAATCTTATCTTGCTTTTCATCAGATTTTTATTTTGAATGTTATGACCAGAAATGGTGATTGCTGTTCCACCCAACCATCCTTGGAGTCTTTATTAGCCTAAGCGGCTTTTCATAATTTTGTTGAGCTTCATGCTCGATCATGTGAAGCATAAAAGAAATCCAAATTCTTCAGAGCTTATAAAATCTTGGATAAACTTCAACGCTAGCCTGTTGAGGCTTTCTGGGGACTGAACCGTTTGCAGTCTTTCAAAGTGTGACATCTGTCTAAGAAATGTATGAAATCATTCATGTAGCTAAAGGACCGTGCTTCTGAACTTCTCTTTTCCTTGCAAATTATTGGGGTCAAAGACACATCACAACTGAAGAAATTTAAGTAAAAAACCTAAAGGTGTGGTTCACTGAAAGACAAATTTTAAACCATTTTTTCTGATCATAATCGGCCACTCTGGAAGGCAGTTGTTGGTTCAGCATCCAGGAAACAGCAGAGACCGTCTCGACTAGAATTGAGTCATTAGCATTAGCAACTCCACAACACGTCAGAAGCTCATCCAGGCTTGTTTTATTTATGGAGATAAAACATCAACGTTGCAAAGGAAACAAAGTCAGTGCTAGAGTCGCATTTCCGTTAGCCAGTCAGAGGTGAGAGGTATCCGGAAACAAGACAACAAATCCTGCAGCCTGAAGCTCTCCTCTGATCTGCCAAACGTGAAACAGGCGCACCAGAGCTTCTTTTTTTAAAACAAGGCATTCATTCCTGAGACCTTCTAATGTATTGATTTAATGAGTGAACAACACATTTAAAAAACCTCAAATTTAAATAAAAAAAATAATAAAGCAGATAATAGAAAAAAAAACCCAAATGAAAATCCAGAAATCCTCCTTTTTCAAACGTTTCATTGTTTTACAATTGAGGTGGAGAATAAAGTGCATTTCAGGGTCATCTTTTTCATTTTTAGTTTACTTCTTTGTGGACTATCATGTGTTAAGCTCTTGTGGACCTGGCTTTCCTTATTTATGAGCTAAAGAGCTTTCGGGTTCTGCATCAGATAAAAAAAAACAACATGACCACATTATTCATCAAAGTGATTTGAAAAGCATGTGCTGCACATGGTCTTCTAACGTAACTTTTGTCAATATCAGGACTTCTACCCTTTAAAAAAGGTGTGCAGATGGTTAAACTTGTCATCTCTCTGATGAAAGGCGCACCCTTCAGGAGAAGGAATAGAGTTGCTTTCTGTCTCTTAAGTGGTTGGTGATGGACAGAATAAAAAGAGGTATAGAGAGGAGTTTTTATTTTTGATTGCCTTCCAGTTTTCTTTGGCCTGCTGTGCTGCTCACAGCCTCCTCTCAGTTCTAACATAATTCCTCACGCAGAAAGGTCAGTCCATCTCTTGCATACCTTTGTAATCACAACTTTTCCTGTCTTCCCAAGTGAACGCTGCTTGTAGTGCATTTCTTTAACACTGTCATGCGGTTGGAGCGCCAGGAGTCATGGAAGTCATGCAGAAAATAGTTAAATAGTTATTTATGGCTTGAGTCATTGGGAGATAAATGCATATTTAAAATGAAAAACCAAAATCCAAGTTCCGTGCATTTATGCTCTGCAAAAGAAATGTTTAATCCAGGGAACTGATACCCACACCTGATTTTATTTATTTATAAAGGCTAAAGTACAATCGAGGATGATCCCTTTTAGAGAAGCAGCTTCATTTGTTAAGTTTTTT